CTGGTCAAGATCGCATAGAGGCATAATTATTCTCTTCTTTGCTCCTGTGCTGCACAGTGGAGACAGAATTTCTAGAGAGACTCTGGAATACAGAGTTTTATGGTTTACAGGTTACAGGTTTTATGAAGAAAGCTGAAAGAAAACTATTGCTGGTATAATGCAATCATCTTTATTAGCTAACTATCTTAGGATGAAATAAACCAGAACATAGGAAATGCTCAGAATATGTAGTGCTTGTAAGATGACTGGTTCTCTCAGATCTGTATAAATAAGAAGAAAAAGTCATTGGTGGCAATCGATGAAACTGAACTGTTATGCTTGGCTGCAAATACAAACATGATTTTGTGAGCAGCTCAGCTGCATCTTCTGTTGACATCCATTGCTAGTAATGGGAGCACTGCCTGGTGCACATGGAGCTTCACAAGAGGGGAAGCCTGATCACAGAACCGTGCTAAAAACTGATGTGTTAGTGCCAGTTAAACATTTCTGTTGGACGACCTTAGAATAATGTATGTCTTGTATATGCCACAAAACCGAATGGAGCTGGCTGCAGCTAACTGGAGCAGCTCAGCTGGAAGATCAAAGACAGAAGTATGGCACATTCTGTGGCATTTTGGTGTGATGTTGCTATGCCAGAGAAGCTACTGGAAAAATACAGAATTGGAGCCACTCAATTGAAATAAATATTTAAGAATTTGTTGAAAGAGTTAATAGCCATGAAGTCTAAAGGATTGATTTAATTGATGAAAACAATCAAGTGCTTTTCATCTTGGTGGCCCATTGACAAAGGCCGTTTATTTAGCCTTTGTGCTTAGGAGTGTGGCCTATTGCGACCCGGATTGAGGAGCCTTTCATTTGTGTTGCAAAGCAGTCAAGGCCTTACCGTGGGGCTGAGGTTGGCATTATAACAAGGAGGACTTGCAAGTAATTGGAACAATGTGTGTTGGGGGTGAGGGGAATAGCATAAAGGTTACTGGCAATGGCTTAAATATTTCTGCATTTCTGGAGTCCTCACCCGTAATTAGTGCATATAAACTGTATCATCTTGTTGTTGCATGTATGTACAGATTAGGATGCAGTACCTGTCTTCTCTGCATGCCCAGATGATGCGCTGCCATTGCCTCTGTTTATTTTAGCACCTTCATGCGAATCGTGCTAGGCACATTCCTAGCAAATTATTTCTGTGCCTTGTATTGCCTACAGCCTGACGATACAAGGCAGACAAAGAACAGAAGAGAGTGAATGTTTGACACGGTTTGCAAACTGGGGAAGTAAGGCACAGGGTAACTGAGCGACTCGTTCACCCTCTCACACACATTCTGTAGGAGATCTGGTGACAGACAAAGATCTCCCAAGACTCTAGCTGGTATCTTGACCAGAAAAAAAATTGGTTGTTCAAATACTCTTGGCTATGTCAAAGTAAAATTGATTTCAGCAGAAACATGCCTGTCTCTTTCGGCCTAAACTAGTGCAGAGACCCAAATTGGTGCATAGTACAGCAGTTCACCTAGTTCCTGGAGTGAGGAGGATTAAATATACTTCACTTTTATTCTGCATTGCATTTGACTTTTTCTGCCTTAGGGTAGAACTCCTAATGTCTAAACTAATCTGGAAAGCTTAAATGGGATTTCTTACCCAACACTCCTACTCTGTGGATAACAGTTGATTGAGTTTAACCAAGCTGTCCTTGAACTCCTCTGACACAGCAGCACAGAGCTTCTCTGGCCCATGCAGCACTATCCCAGCTGCGTTTTTATCATATTTCAGTCTGTCCAAACCAGACCAGTAAGACTGTTATTATAATAAGGGGGAAAAAAGTAATATTTAATGTTCCATTAACATCCAGTGAAATCTGATATGGATGAAACCGTGGATTTCTCTTTTCCCTAACGCTGACAAAGCCACAGCACGCTTCCATTGGTGTGCTCTGTAGGAAGGCAGTTTTTAAAGCAAAATGCTCTTTTGGCTGCTTTACTTGTGTCCGGCAAACACGCAGTACACAATTCAGTGTTTACCTTCCTTCTTAGTCCTACACTTTGTGCAGTGTGTAAACGACAGAAGCACTTCTAACCTTTTGAATATTTGGTTATGAAGACAAGAGTTAGTACTGGCAGATGGCATAAAGCGGTTTAAATTTAAAGGCTAGGAATGTAGAATAAGCAGCTAAAGGCAAACAATACTGAGAGTATAAACAGTTAAGAAATTTGTCATTTGTTTTAAAGTCCCCACTGCTATGCCATCCTGTCTGTATCACACAGCCTGCGCTCCTGTTTCTAAGTTGACTGAATAGACAATACATCATAAAGGTACAAGCAGAGATTGTTCTCAATGAGGCTAAATCAAGGTTGCTCACCTAAGAATTCTTTACTTTTCCCTCTAATGCAGTGAACATTTTCGATACCATATCAAAAAAGAAATAGAATAATTGCAATGGAGTCTCATGTAAACAATTTCAATGAAATAATTATGTTTTCCAATCTCATTTTAATAAAAACTGAGCATCGTTTGCAAATTCTCGTTAGCTGTCAGTGGGATCATTGCACTGTAAAAGTTTGCAATAATTAAGTTGCAGGCTTACATTTTAAATTAACTGTGATAAATATTAAACTATCCATTTTTAACTGCCTTGATATCAGCTTTGCTAAAGAATGCAGACCAGATATTCCAACAGCAGTAGAGCGATGATAAGAAAATACCCTGGTTGAAATAAGATGGAACCAAACTGTCCTCACGCTTACATTAGCAGATCGTGTTTGGGGATGAGATTAAGCTTTAGAGCAAAAGGCTCTGTTTGGGAAAATTCTAAGTCCCTGCAGGGAGCGACTGGGAAGGAGCCTGGAGATCAGCTTTAGCTGTTACAGTTGTAATCAAATACTCTCTCAGCCAGATTTCTTCTTTCATCACTTCCAGGAGCTGTTGTGGCAGAGCACTGCTGCTCCTCTCCCTGGCAGCCCTCCTCAGTAACTCGACAGAGCTAAGCTGGAGGCGGCTGCAGTTTGAAGTGCTGGAATGGTACAGGCTGCCTTTTCCCCCTCCTCATTTCCTAGAGATTTTTTCTTCTGGATGCTTCTCTCCCCATTTGTGATGGCACAACACCCTGTGACAACTACAGTCATTGTTTATATGAAGATGGATTCTAGGAAAACACTCTTCTAGCTGTCTATAGTACAACATGTATTTTTCTTTCACAGCTTTTCCTTATCTTTCCTTCTCCTCAAGAAAATCCCCACAGGTCAATCCACCAATTCCTGGTCTTTATTTCTTCTTCTTGTTTGTCCTGTTTTTCTCAGAAGAAACAAAGTGTACTAGCACCACAACCTGTCAGCTAAGAGGCCAGCACTGCATTCTTGGTAGTTCAACCAAGAATTCCAGACCACAACTTGGCTGTTCCTGAAGCAATCTATAACATTATCATCACGTATCTGCTGGGCTGCAGCAGCATATTTCCCCATGAAGTAGCGAAACTTCATTTCTACTGTTCTCTGACCATACCCTACCCTGCAGCCACATTACCTGGCATTCTTCGGATAGAACTGCAGCTTTTATGTTTTTTCCACTGCGTAAATGCCAGTACAGCCAGCAGAAGGCAGCTGATTTTGGCCATGGCCATTTTGTCTTTTCCAGGCACAATTCCTTAACCCTTTCAACAACACGATATTTCTCTTTTGCTCAGCTTTTCCCATTTTTAACTTCAGTTGCATCTACGTGATGGATACTGAATTATTGACATCCGTGGCCTTTTTTGCACTCACCCATTTTCTCATAGTTGTTCCAGCCATGCCTAAACATAAAACAAACAGGCAAACAAAAAAAACAAAAACAAAAACAAACCCAAATCCTCTCATACAGCTTTCTGGGAGAAAAAGCCATCTCACAAAGATGCAAGTAGTCTTCTAATTTGTGTGGCCAATAAATGATACACAAATTTCTTCTCTGGTAAACACTGTAAAGACATTTTAACTGGCCAGATGAGCTGTAATGTCATTTGTGTAACTGTCCTCTGCTCAGCCGGGCTTCAGATGAGTTGCTGCTTCCCTCTCGTTGTTCAGCTCCTCCAGGAATTCATGGCTGCAGAAAGGCCACCTTTGCTATTGTACTGGCACGTCTGCAAATCCTTAAGTTTTTAAATCCTTCTTTCTGCTGCTGCCACATTCAGCTTGGTTAACACTCGTACATCAGCAGTAGAGAAGGACCTTGCATATATGTTGTTAATAAGTGGTGCAGTAAGACAAACCCAAGTGATTAATGTGACAAAGAAGTGGCATCTGCTTAATATTCTGAGGATCAGTTTATCTTTGGGTAGAAAAGACACAGTTGTCAGAACTAAACCTGCTGGGTTAAATGTATTTATTATAAACACCGACAGATGAGGGGGTGTTGCTGGTACCCGCTTCCGATGTCTGGGAAATTCTTCTTCAGAGAGAAAACAGCCAACCGTGCCTGATATTGCCTGCAAGAGAAACTCTTCTTGCTCAAGGCTGAGGCGCACCCGGCACAGCTGGCACAAGTACAAATGCAAGGATGCACTAAGGACCAGACGGACAATTCGGTCCGGTTTTGCGGCTACCTTTCTGGTTTTAGCGCTGCTATTTCTTCTGCTCCTAACAGCCCAGCAGACCCTTCGCCGCCAGCCAAACGTAGTTGTCCGAAATGGTCCCCAGCCCTCCCGAAAACCCGCGTCCCGCATCACCGCTCTGCTTCGAGCCGCACAAAGGCGGTAACAAAGCCCAACCCGGCTAATTAGGTCAGAGCCGCGCCAGCTGCGGGCGCGATCACCGCAGCCCTCCCTCAGCCAAAGCTCCAAGCCCCCGCTCCGCTCCCCGCGGTTCGCCCCGCGCTGTCCCCAGGGCTGCCCCGCCACCGGCCCGGGGCTCACCCGGCGGGGCGCGGAGCGGGGCTAAGCACCGCCCCTCGCCCCCTCCTTCCCTCCTCTCGCTCGCCGCCAGCCCGGCCCCGCCGCCTGGTACCGCCGCCGCCGCCGCCCCGAGCGCTCCCCGCTCCGCAGCCGGCCCGCCGCTGCTCGGCCCGGCCGGGCGGGGACTTGGCAGCAACTCGCGGAGGAAGAGAGGGAGAGAGAGAGAGAGACCGAGAGCGCCTGCCCCCGCTGCCCGCTCCGCTGTGGCTTCGGGGCGGAGGAGGAAGGTCCGTGCTCGGCCGAGAAGCAGCAGCCGCCGCCAGCGAGGAGGAGAGACGGAGAGGCGGCCGGAGCCCCCTAAAGTGCCCCCCCAACCCTGCACTGCAGGCTACATTTCCAGCTTCATGGGCAAAGTGTGGAAACAGCAGATGTACCCCCAGTACACCACCTACTACTACCCCCAGTATCTGCAGGCGAAGGTATGGCACGGCCAGACGGGGTCTGGGGCGCGGACGCGGCTCGGGAGGGGGGGCGGGCTGGATAGTACGGGGGTCGGAGACAGGAAAGAGCCGGCGGCCCCTTCCTGCCGGCTCCTCGCCGCCGGCCCTCCGGACTCTCCTCGTCCTCCCGGCGCTCCCTTCCCCCGCACGCCCTCGGCGAAGCGGAGCTCCGCGGGCCCCGCCGTCGTCTCGCTTTGCGCGGGGAACGACCCAGAGTTCGGGCGGCGGCGCCGAGCCGCTGCTCTTCGCTGCGTTTTGGGCCGGGGAAGGGACGAGCTGCCGTGCGGGTGGCGGCGGGGCACGGCAGCGGCGCGCCGGTGGTGGCCGTCATTCCGCCTCGATGGGGACACCGCCGCCTGGCCGAGCGGGTCCGCATTGTCTGAGGAGTTGGACCTTTGTGAGCAGCCGCCTCGCAGTTTTCAAACTGGCTCAAAAAGGTGTTTAGGAGCCGGCTGTGGCGGTTTGTGCTGTCCGCGGGTAGCCCTAGTGCGCCGGAAAACGGACTTCAGTTCTAACGGTGGTGAATCCCCAGCTTTTTGTCTTTTATATTATTTTTTCCCTCTCTCCTGTGAGGCTGTGGGGGCAGCCAGCCCTTACGCTGCTCTAGAAGCATCACGCTGCAAACTGGCAGATGCAGAGGTGGTTGCATCAGCTGTCTGGAACATTTAGCATAAGCCTCTCCAACCACCAGTGTCACTCCTCACAAATCAAAACGGACCCATATGAGGCTTCAATGTGTGAACTTTTTGTTAGAGGTTATAACTGTGCTGTGGTTTTATTTTTTCCTTCCTTCTTTTTTTTTTTTTTTTTTCTCTTTCTTTTTCCTTTTTCCCTCCAAGGAAGTGCCTGGCCTGTATGGCAGTGAGAGGACAAGAATTCTCTTTATCTGCACATACGATAGGCTCTTCTGTTTATTGTGTCCTGTGATACTGTATTGTGAGATGTAATTTATAGTGCTTGGCCGAAAAATAAATTTGGTCTGACAGTCATGAGACATTTTACAAGTCAGCAGTGAGGAGGCTTTGAAATGTGCTTTCATGTATACAGAAATTGACAGAAATACAATGAAGGTCTTTAGGTGATTTGAAGTGAGTAATTATCTCTTACACGTGTAATTGACACCGGGCTAAATAGGAGAGTGTGTCACCATTTACAGATTGTGCCACAGAGCAGTCGCTTCAGGACTCTTCAGATACGGATATTTCCATGCGTTATTTTTAGGAAAGTACAATGCCTGGCAGATAGCCCCTTGCATCACTCAGCTCTCTGATGCACGCCTATATCTGCATTCTCAAATGAGAAAATGCCTTTGTTCAGAAGCATTTTCTTTTCTGATTTTCTGCGGTGTTAGTAAGTTAGGAAGTGAGTCCGTACCACTGAGTACACATAAAGCAATGTCACTTGGCTTTCCTGACCTGTAAATAATTGAAGAGGGAGGAGAGCTCTAATAGCTTACTGTAGTTACTAGGGTATGATCCTAGAAATCCATGATCCTATGAGAAAGCTTGATGGACCATCTTCTGAAAACGTTTCCTGTTCAGGTAATTTAATATTGATTTGCATTACAGTCAATGACATCTTCAAAGCATCTTGCAGTCTTCGCTATGAAATGATAGGGCCTGAAATCATGTTACTTTATTTCAGAAGGGAGAGTGCACAGCCGTTTGACCTACACAGATGAAATCAAATATCTGGGATCTGAAGTCCCCTCTTTTGAGAGATCTTGGTTGTTTGTTTGTTTGTTTTTTTTTTTTTTAAAAAAAAAAAAAAAAAAAAAGAGGAAAAAAAAAAAAAAAAGAACAGGTGGGCCCTTGCTGGGGCAGGAGGGCCAGTAATCCTGAGTTTTGATATTCAAGCATGTAGGATTCAGTAATGGAAGAAATCTCATTATGGACCCTCTCTGAAAAAATAATTTAATTCATCTTTTCCAGTTGGTATATCTTTAGATTCTAAAAGGAGAGCCACTGCCCAGTACTCTAAATATTTCAGTAATTCTGAAGAAACCTTTGGTTCTTGTCAAACCTGCATTAGAATAGAACTGAACAGCCTTTGCTGTCTGTGTGATGGGTGATGGATGGTACGTGGTCACACGGGGGGAAGGAATTGATACTGAGGCTGGAAGTTTTGCTTCCCATCTTGTCCTTCCTTAAGTGATGAAGGAAAATCTGCTGACTAATAAACCACAAATTGATAATTAGGAGATGACAGGAATTGCTTGAGCATGGATATATATATATATTTTTTTTTCAAATGAGAGCTCAGAAATACTCATTAGATGTTGCATGCACTGCTAATGGTTCTTAGGGTTAAAAGTGATATGGTCAACCTGTTTAATTGCTACAAAATATGTTGCACATTTTAAAAACAGATGTTGTGTTTATCTGTTATGATCCTCACAGTCTTATCCATGAAGCAGTCAAGCTCTTTCAGTCAGATATTCTGGGAAGAAATACAAACAGTTGCTGTGATTCAGCACCTCCTTCCCCTTAATTGAGCAGAGTTCAGCATTGAAAAAGATGAGGGAGGACACAGACTTAAATAAAATGAACAAAATAAACATTGGAAGAAGGTGTAAGGCTTCTAATATGAAAAATCATCATGGCAATGAAATTAGAAAGTTTGAAATGGTTTCAAGTTAAAGCTTTTATAACCGCTTGCATTTTCTGGGCTTACACCATTTTTTACCCTATTTTACTCAATATCTATTAATTTTTTTTGCATCTTCTAATAAGTATATTTTTAGGACAGTTCCTGTATTGTAATGTTGCTTGGCATGTCAGAGAGCATAAAAAATATTTGTAAGTCCAATGAACATCAACATTTTAGCAAATTATGCTAATTAAGATGTGTGTGTTTTACAAAACCTTAAATGCCGTTCTGACTGATAGGCATGCCAGGCAGGTGTTGTAACAATAGCAAAGCAGCTGGAGTGCAGATAAACAAATATAAATGGGCACCACTAGGCTGCACCTTGTTTGTTTTAGTCAAGTAAGAAACAAATGGGAATTTCTGCTTTGTTTTCCTTTACCTACGTATCTAAAGGAGTTCGGGGACACAGTGCACATTGATTTTCAAAGACTCTGTGCTAGCTGTCCGTATTGCTGTTTTCGTTAGAGAATAATATGACAATATAACTGTCTAATTCTAGTGATAGATTTCTGCATCATAAAGCAGATTTTCTTAGTGTAAGAAAGTGTTTGTAGAAAAAGACAATGTTTCCTATGGAGAGCTTGATTTATTTGAAGTGCAGGTATCTGATAGCAATAGATAACAGTTAATGATTGTATTCTATCTCTTTCATGTGGTATTAGATTATAACAACTCAATTCACGAACATTGTGAATTTTGCTAAATTACTTTATGTGGTCCTTCTAACTGTGTCAATTGGTGGCTGCAAAATGAGTGCCCTGGCAGTTAGGAGAAGAACTAATACTTCCAGAACTGTGTGTAGGTTTGTAGGCAGTTCTATGGATGGATGGAAACAGGAGGTGAGCAGGCAGATCCTATCGTGTCAAAAATGTATTTTCAGGCTGTTGACAGCAAACTTTAAAATGGGAACATCGAGTTTTTGTGCAAACCTGTTGATGGCAAAGTGGGACAGCAGGTAAAAGGAGCCTTGCTGTAATAATGCTACAAAGCAGCTAGGAAACTTTCTTTTTAGGAGGCTGTGGGTAATCCACAGTTCAGCGTCCAGGGCACAGAGCTTACAGACAGATGGAGGAACTGCTGGTTTTAGAGCAGAAGCTGCAGAACATCCTGATGGTTTGTTGCTGCTGATTGCCTTTCCTCAGTTTTCTGTGCCCAGCACAGGTCTGCTGCCCTCTAAAGAGTGTTACTGGCTTCTAAACTGTTTTAAGGATGATTACCAGTTCTGATCAGTTTTGTTTATATTTATTCCATTTGTACTATGAGTGCAAAATCTGTACATAGTGAAAAGCAAGTTGGGTTTATAGGAACACAGAGAATGGGTGAATGTGTTTATAAGGTCTGATAGAAATAATGTACGCACCTGTGAAGTTCTTAATTGTCCATAATTCTGCATCTCTCTGGTTCTGGGCAGAGCTTGGAAATCCATAGAGGAATGGGGTGAGGGGAAGGACAGGTTTGCTGCAGGCAGATCTTTTTTGTCTCCACACAGATACATGATCCCATTATCCTCATTAGCCTCTTGAATGTGCTTTTTCCTATTCCTGCAAGGCAAAGGTTTTATTGTGTTCCATAGGTGTAACTACCCAAAGAACTCCTTCTGAAAGGGCACCACATTGTGGAAGGGAAAGAAATGTAATGTATACCAATTTTAAGAAATACTTGAAAGTACTGGACGTGATCCCTTCAGTACCATTAAATAATCTCAGGGGATGTAAAAAATGGAGAAGGGAAGAGTGTTCCCCATGAACAGCATCTTGTCTTTTCCTAAGCATCCATTCCAGAATTGGGAGTGCTTGTGTCCATCCATCAGAGAGGTCACTGGCTTTTCGTGACTGATCTCAGTGGCTGGTTTATGTAATCATTCCTGCTACCTTCGTTTGAGTGGAAATCTCTGTCCTTGTCCCAGTTACAGCTCCTTTTAACTTTTGAAGTTTAGTTTGGGTAGCTTGCTGTGAACTAGAAATATGTTCTTCAGAAAGATAATTCTTGTATTTTCAGAAGTTGAATCCTTATTAGAAATGGATCAGGCAAAGTTCGCACGTTGTTCTGCATGCATTTGTCCTCCTTGCCTTGAAATACTCCAGTTTTGCCTTGAATTATTCTGTACCAGGGCCTCTCTTGAGATGTAATGTCAGATAAGTCTAATGGGTAAATACACATTAGAAGCAGGACGTGACCAGATATGTTGCTAATAGCAATAATTTAAAGATTGAGCCCAGATACTCCTCACTGGAATCATGGCATTGTTTGGCGGAGTGAGGAAAGATGTGTGTGAATGTATCGCGAGTTAAAGTGCATCACCACTGTAATTTTGTAAATCACTCTAATGA